TATTCATAAACAGACAACTGAAACTTCAAACTGATTTATGTGATTTTATTGTCACCTTGAGGCTTGAAGAAACTTTTTGTAATACATAGTTGATTGCTCTGACAATGAGTTTTAAAAAATGCCGTGTTTTTGAGCAATTAATAGGTGGAAATTTCAGGCCAGTAAATGACAGTGATGTTTGTAAAGGTATAGTAGCTAGTCATTATGTGATGGGAATAAGAAGAAATGTATATATATATATATATTTTTTTTAAGGCTTACGTTTTATCAATGTACAGTTGAATGCATCCTCCCAGAACTCAGTGAGCACAGAGGAGGCAGCAACTTCAGTAGGAGAGAGATCCAACAGAAAATCTGTCAGTCCTGGTATAAGAAATTGTTCCAACGCCACTCCAATGGCCCCAGCACAGAAAGCAAAGTCCATCAACTCTGGGTCTGTGATCCAGCCCTCACTTCCTATCCACTGACGGAGTGGTAGAGGCTCACGAGCCAGCTCTTCTAAAAGGAGCCTCATTTCTGTAGTATCCATAAATGCAACAACAACCTTTGCTGTTGACCTGGAGGGACAATAAACAGCATTTCAGTAATACAATGCAAGATTTTCCATTCTGATTTATGACATATAGTTGTGTACAAACATATATAATATTTTACATAAATAATTAATTTTAACCTGCGGATAACATCTGCCACTCTTTGGATCTTGCTTTGAGGGTCAGTCCAATAGAAGGATTCAGAGTACTCCACACAGATCCCCTCTCTCTGAGCTGCAGCAAGAAAAGATGCCATACCATAATTTCCATAATCTGAGTCAGAGTGGACAGCACCTATCCAAGTCCAGCCAAAGTGTTTCACCAGCTTGGCAAGAGCATCAGCTTGGAACTGATCACTGGGAATTGTTCTGAAAAAAGTGGGAAACTGCTTCTTATCTGACAAGCAGGCACAAGAGGCAGAGTGGCTCACCTAGAGCAAGATCAATAACATAGCTTTAATGAAAAATATTCAAATATAGCAGGTAGATTTCATAATTGTATTTATAAAAAAACACTAATTTACTTGAGGAATAAGAAAGGATCCAATGATTCGTGAAATGCTAATAGATGGTGTTGATCCAGATTCTCCAACTACAGCCGTCACAACACCAGATTGAGAACAGTTGTCGTCTTTGTAAAACAATGGGTCGTGGCCATTTGACAGCTGAAAGGCCACATGCACAGCCACAGGCACTGAAGCACATGAGTCATAGATATGATATCCAAGTTTGATGCCTGGCAGTAGCTCTGTGCTGTTGTTTATCTCCTCAAGGGCAAAGATCATTGTGCGAGAGAAATGCAGTTGTGGGACAATAAGGCTGCACAGAATCAATCAGTTAAATAAATTTTTAAAACTATTAAAAGTGAAACAAAAGCATAAATCCTAAAATAGAACAAAAAAGATTACAATGAATATTTAAATATGAACTGCAAAAGTTATATTTAACATTTGCAGTTATAAACACAAAAGAATGTTATGCCCAGAGTCTTTCTAACAGTAAATAAAATAAAATAGCATAACTTTTCCTTATCACAAACATTTTTTTAGCAAATTACACATGTTCTATTAAAAAAAATCATATCTTAACATTTCTTTCCATAATGCTTTCCTTGTACTAACCTCCCTGTGCATTTTAAGGACTCAGGCTTGGTGGTGTACTGATAAATCACAGTGTAAATGTTGTAGTGAAATGTAAAAACACCTCCAATAACAAAGTCACCATCCATTGAGAATGCAGGCAAACGAGGAGTACTCTGAAGGGTGCATTTAACTGATGAATCCTCAGTACTGACACCAGCGGTAGACAGAACCTCTATAGGCTCAATCCCCTGTTTCAGATCATCCAGAGACCCACCCAAGACAACAATTAACATCAGCTCCAACAAACTTGCTGTTATTCTCAGACCAATGTAGAGAGATATGAGCTCCATATCTCTACTGTCTGTAATTGAATGTTCATGTGAATTTTTTAGTTTATGTACCTCCTAGTCACGTGATTTTTCCCCAGACATAAGATGCATTCAACCTGTGATTCTTCATTGTATCCATCATTTATACTTTGTCTTTTACTTTTCTTATCTAATAAAATTCAAGATGCTGAGTTTATATTTTTTGCCCTCTATCTCTCTCTTGTCATGTTGGTTTCTTATACAAATAAATGTCGCAGCCTCCGGTCAGCATCAGACATTTTATTTTTCCTCTGTTACTGTACAGTCTCACTCTACATGAGTCACAACATATTCCCCAGGCATGTGTTGCCCTCTAGTGGTAACATGTAATTCAATGGATTACACCACATCCCCCTTACTGAAGTTAGTTTAACTCGTCTTAACTGCAAACAAAAACATTGCTGTATCAAATAATTTCAATTTACATTGCTCACTTATCTTTACCTGCGCAAACATGTTATTTTAATGACAGATTAAATGTTAAATTTGAATATTTCTATATTTATCACCACAGTAAAAATGTTACACACGTTAGTTGTTGTACACACTCAAAAAAATACATACATTGGTTTAGTGCTTACCTATAATCAGAATCAGAATAAACTTTATTGGCATTGCGCCGAGATACAACGAGAACATGTACGTACAGTCATCCAAAAGATGGGCTGAGTGCACGAAGCTGCAACTATAAAAAAAGTGCAGCCTTCTTATTCTTATTCAGAATAATATTTTGCTTAGATGAGTAAAGGGAAGAAAACATGAGGAGAGATGGTATAAAGAAAGATCTCTCACGCCGTGTCCTAGACAGAGCACAACTTGAGGCATCAAAAAAAAACCTACCACAGCAAAGCAACATAAATTGACATTATACCTGTACATATAGGGCAGTGAAGACACTGAATTTTTAAGGGAAAGTCGCAGCAGCCACCCCCCAGCCAATGTCCAGATAAGAGGTGTAATTCATCATCAGCTCGGTTGAGGTTCTGTCACATGTTCACCGCTTTGGGGAAAGGAGTGGTGAGGAGACAAACAAAGCATCTTTGTTTTTTTCAAAACATGCCAGGAGTAGTTGAGATAAGTCTAACATCAATGCCACAGTTTGGGTCAAGCAGAACTCGTAAATTGCTGTTTTCTGCCTTTTAAAGTCTTGCTGGTATATTTTCCTCTGATGGAACTCCAAAACAGCCGAATTGATCCTTTACGCCAAAAGTTGAGCTCACAGCTTCTCCAAGATTATTTACCCTTCATGTGTGTTGCTAGCAAGTCCGCAGTCCTGATAACAGCTGCTCCAGCTCCCTGCAGCAGCTCCACAAATTCAGTCTGAGCGCTGTCGAGCTTCGACACAGCCACACAAATTTATAGACAGTCTAGAAATCACCAGCCAAACAGCAAAAAGCAGTAGTCATCATGAATCCAATTTGTTTCCGTCGAGGTAAGAGGGTCCTCCTTACCCTGACTCCTGTCGGAGAAGTTGATCACTTTGGTTGAGAGACCAGCTGAACCTTCGAATTAGGAGGTATGCAGAAAAGAACTTACATTCCATGTCCCATGGTTCTTTTGTAAGCCAGGGTCAGAGCACCTTCGGCCGTTGACCATGGCATCATGCACCTGACTTGTATGGCCTCTCCTTTAGGTGGTGGACCCACAGGAAGGCAAGAGGATGTGAATTTTCTAGAAAATTTGTCATGCTTGCTAGAACCTTGTCAGAAACAACAAATACAAAAGTGCTATGGTAAAACCATTTCTGTGTGAAAAAGGTATCAAATCATGTGTTTGTGGCAAACTGTTTTATATTTTGTGGTAGTTTGATGATGACTATTTTTTTCCATACAATTTTGTAAAATTGTGCTAAACATCCATCCATCTATTATCTTTAAACACGTCTTTCTTTTTGGGTCATGCGGGTCACTGGTGTCCATGTCCAGCAATCACCGTACGAGAGGCGGGGGACACCCTGAACAAGTCGTGAGTCCAGCACATAGACAAATAGAGACAAACAAGACAAACAACCATTCACTCTCTCATTCAAACCTAGGGAATATTTAGAGTTATCAGCCAGCCTAACATGAATGTTTTTGGTCTTTTGGAGGAAACCAGAGTACCTTTAGAAAACCCACACATGCACAGAAAGAATATACAATTGATACGCAAAAAGGCCCCCAGCTGGGATTCAATCCAGCAACCTTCTTGCCGAGAGGTGGCAGTGCTACACACTTCACCACTGCGCCACCCATTGTGCTAAACATTTAAAAAGTATTTTGTGTATTGTGTCACCAAATGGTAGGCTACTCAGATTTTCTTTTGAATTTTACTTTTTGCTTTTTTGTTTGAGAATCAAATTTGATTTATGAAAATTGGAATCAAAATGGGGCAGCATGGTGGCACAACTGGTAGAGCTGCTGCCTCTCAGCGAGAAGGTTACCAGTTCAAATCCCGGTCCAGGGGCCTTTCTGGGTGGAGTTTGCATGTTCTCTCTGTGCATGCGTGGGTTTTCTCCGGGTACTCCAGTTTCCTCCCACAGACCAAAAACATGCATGCTAGGCTGATTGGTAACTCTAAATTGTCCCTAGGTGTGAGTGAGAGAGTGAATGGTTGTTTGTCTCATTTGTCTCTATGTGTCCCTGTGATGGATTGGAGACATGTCCAGGGTGTACACCGTTCCTTGCATTGTGATTGCTGGACATGAGCACTGGCGACCCCCGTGACCCAAAATGGAAGAAGCGATAAGAGATGATGGATGGATGGATGGATGGATGGAAGGATGGATGGATGGAATCAAAATGAACATTTTAACAAAATAGTTTTACTTTTACTTTATTACTTCTATTTGGCAAATTAAAAAAACATAAAATCACATCTTTAGATTTTCATCATAGATTGTACGCCTTTACAACATTTTTCTAATAAATTTACCAAGAAAAAAAAACAACTACAAAAGATATCTGACAATGTATTTAGTTCTACTTAAATTTCAGTCTTATATTTTCATCATATATTTAATCCTCTAAAACTTTACTATTAATTTTTGTTCATTAAATATTTCTTGGAGTTCTTCACGGGCTGAAAAATTATGATGAAACACTTTGGAGCAAATATGCACAGTATCAGTCCAAAACTGGAGGCCAGAATGGCAAATATCTCCACAGCCACAGTAAACTTTCCAGGAGAGCTGACATATGCTGGGATGAAGGTGATCCACACTGCACAGAAGATCAGCATGCTGAAGGTTATCAGTTTGGCTTCATTAAAATTATCAGGTAGTTTGCGAGCTAGAACAGCTAACACAAAGCAAAAAACAGCCAGCAGACCAATGTACCCGAGCACAGCCCAGAAGCCAACAGCAGAGCCTAATGCACATTCCAGGATGATCTTCTCCTTGTATGTAGTCAGATTTTTCATTGGGAAAGGAGGGCTTAGTACCAACCAAACAGTACAAATTAAAACTTGAACACATGCCAGAGATGCTACAGTCATCCTTTGCTGTGGAGGCCCAAACCATTTCATGACATTACTACCTGGAAGTGTAGCTTTGAAGGCCATTAAAACCACTACAGTTTTTCCAAGAACACAGGAGATACAGAGAACAAAGGTGATCCCAAAAGCTGTGTGCCGCAGCATGCAGGACCACTTAGAGGGAGCTCCAATGAAAGTTAATGAACATAAAAAACACAGAGTCAGAGAGAAGAGCAGCAGGAAACTCAGCTCAGAGTTGTTGGCTCTGACAACTGGAGTTGTTCTGTTATGAAAGAAAATAACTGCTGTTATGATGGCCAGACAGGCCCCAAAAACAGAGAATGCAGCCAGGATGATTGACAGAACTTCATCAAAGGACAGAAACTCCACAGGTTTTGGTAAACAAGCATCTCTTTTTGCATTAGGCCAGAATTCACTTAGACATGGAAAGCAATCAGGAGAATCTAAAAATATAATTTAAAAGGGCTGTTAGTGCTTAAAACCACAAAAGTGCATTATAATTAACCTTTTTCTAAAGTTACCTGTTGTATTACTGATCTCTCCTTCAGGACATGGTATACAATCATAGCAGCAGATGGGTTTTCCTTTCTGCAACACTTTATGAGTTCCTGGAGGACAATAATCAGTGCACACTGATACGGGAACCTGTTACATAAAAGCAAAAAACAAACAAAAAAAGATGTTGTTGTCTTGTTTTTGTTTGTTTTTTAAGCAACTGAAATGAAGCATTTAATTAAATAAATGTCAAAGTTTATTATCTTAAGCCTCCTTACTTGTGTTCCACCCTCCACCCAGGTTATGTTTCTGTCGATCTGAAACTCCTGGCCTTCATGCAGTGATGCATCATAGTATCCTACTGTCACCGCTTCAATAACTCCACTCTCACTCTTCTGCCAATTGACCAGTTCATAAAAGGCCACAGGATCCCCATTAGCATCAAATGACACAGGATAACCATTATGAGAAAAGTTGACTGTTTTTAGTTGAGATAAAACCTAAAAAAATAAAATAAATTCAATAAAACTATTGTTAGTTTAAAATGTGTTATTAGACTATCATCAGCAATTAAAAAAAATATTAGAACTGACCAGTTTGGATTCTAATCTGAAGTTTTTATCACAATGAGTGGTGAAATTTGTCACCTTACACACTGCATTGTTAATGGCATGAGCTATTGCATAAACCGCTCTGTACACCATGTTAATCATTCTTAACTTAGATATGTCAGTGTATGAGTTTTTGAGCGTTTTTAGGTCTTCAGTTCCATCACACACTCTTCTGTCTGATTCAGGCCCTGAAAACACATAAAGACAAAACCGAACAGTTTTTTTTTGTTTCAGATAAACTGTACAAATCTCTCCAATTACAAGTAATGGGAGCTGTGTGTTTACACATAACACTTAAAAGACAATTCAATTCAAATTGATCATCTAAGTACTTTAGATTTGAAGAAAAATGAGGCTGTCATGATTTTTTTGTTTGTTGTATTTATGCAATTTTCTTTGCTCATTTCATGAAGTTTTCCTTGTTCTTTAATTATGATAGTCTTTATGTTAACTTTGGATTGTTTCTCTGTAATTTGTTCTCACTTTTTGTCAGTGTGCAGTTGAATGCATCTTCCCAGAACTCAGTGAGCACTGAGGAAGCAGCTACTTCACTGGGAGAGAGATCAAGCAAAAAATCTTCCAGCCCTGGGATGAAAAATTGCGGAAGGGTAACTCCAACAGCCCCTGCACAGAAACTAAAGCTCATCAGCTGTGGGTGATTTACCCAGCCCTCACTTCCGATCCACTGACGAGGTGGTGAAGGATCTCGAGCCAGCTCCTCTAACAGGAACTTCATATCTGCAGAATCTGCAAATGACACAACAACCTTTGCTGTCGACCTGCAGAGACAATGAACAGCATTCACTTGTATTAACCAATACTGGTTTGCTATACAGATTACTATATATATGAAAATTATAATTGATAAAATTTTAAATACATTTTAAGCTAAGGAATATATGAAATGTTTGCCACAATTCTACATATAATCAGTTAAAAATGTGTTGAAAAAATTGGCTCAAGTATTGAATTGTTTCATCTGATTAAAAACAAATGACTTTTATTCATTGTTCATTAACTGCACATTACCACAATTAAACAAGCAAAATCATTAAATCAGTAACCTGCGAATAACATCTGCTACTTTCTGGATCTTGTTAAGTGGGTCAGTCCTATAGAAGGATTCTCTGTACTCCACACAGATCCCCTCTTTCTGCGCGGCAACAAGAAAAGACGCCATGCCGTAATTTCCATAATCTGAGTCTGAGTGAACAGCACCTATCCAAGTCCAGCCAAAGCGTTTCACCAGATTGGCCAGAGCATCAGCCTGGAACTGATCACTGGGAATTGTTCTGAAAAAAGTGGGAAACTGCTTCTTATCTGACAGGCAGGCACAAGAGGCAGAGTGGCTCACCTAAAGACAGAAAAAGTGACGATGTAATTAAAATTGTAAACACCAAAACTTTCATGTCAGCAAGTACATTTTACAATTTTAGTTTGCAATAAATTCTGATGACATGCCTGAGGAATTTGAAAAGAACCCAAAATTCGTGCCATGCTGATAGATGGTGTTGATCCGGATTCTCCGATGACAGCCATCACAACACCGGACTGGGAACAGTTGCTGTCTTTGTAAAACACAGGGTCGTTGCCATTTGATAATTGAAAAGCTATGTCCACAGTTGCAGGCACTGAAGCACACGAGTCATAGATCTGATATCCAAGTCTGATGCCCGGCAGCAGCTCTGTGCTGTTGTTTATCTCCTCGAGGGCAAAGATCATTGTGCGAGAGAAATGCAGTTGTGGGACAAGACGGCTGCACAAAATCAATGAGTTGAGGGCTGACATTTAGTTAAATAAACATCATAACAAACACAAAAGAGCTAATAGGCAAACCTACACATACAAAAACAAAACAGAATATGGTTGGGAAATTAAACTGATGCTGCAATTATTTTTCTTAACAAAATGTTGCCTTTAAAAACAACATTTTACTTAAAAGTTGAAACGATTTTTGTCAAAAATGGAAAGGATTTTAAATGTACACAGTTTAAAAAAAATGTTAATAATAAAATTATTTTTAAAAATATTGTTTCAGCATTTACCATATTAGGATTTTAAACAGTTTAATACTGATTAATATGTGAAAAAAGCATGATGTTTCCTCATCATTAAAGCAAACTTTGTTACAAATCACACTGCAATTTTTTTCAAATATATTTAACATCGTTTTACATTGTCGTTTACCAACCTGCCTGCGCATCTTAGAGGCTCAGGCTTGGTGGTGTAGTTGTTGGTCACTGTGTTCAGTTTGTAGTGGATGGAGAAAACACCTCCAATAACAACGTCACCATCCCTTGAGAATACCGGTAAACGAGGAATACTCCACATGGTACATTTAATTAAAGAAGCTTCAGTACTAACTACAGTACCAGTCAGAGCCTCTATAGGCTCAGTCTGCTGTTTCAGATCATCCTGAGCCCCACCCAGGACAACAACTTGCATCAGCTCCAACAAAACCACTGCTAGTCTCAGTCCAGTGAAGACAGTCCTGATCTCCATGCCTTCATAATCGTTATGTGTAATCTGTAATATAAATGTGCGCCGGTTTTGATTTATATAGACCTCCTCCTGCTGTTTATCAGAAAAATGACGCTCTCACACAATTACCATTGTTGGATTGGTACTTCAATGTTTTGTTTACTACATAATTGGAAACTGAAGATGTGACTTGCATCTCACAAGTTTACCAAGTTTTAGTTTGAACCTTGCACTAAAGTGCAGTGGGGGAAAAAAAAATCATGTTTTACTTAAAATATTTATTATTTTTTTTGCACATTGTTGCCTGAATCAAATCCAGAATTGTTTATTTCCTAAATACATTTGAAATAGGCAATTACAAACAAAAGTAGCTTTGGGTTCCCAGTACTACATCAACATTTTAAATTAAATTCAAATGTGTGCATACTCAAAAATGTACTGTATATGTTCACTTCATACACAGGATCTGGTCAAAGATTGTTTATTGCACATTTGAAATAGGCCTACCTAAATTTACTTTTAAAAATCCTGCGTGGGCGGAGACGTCCGGGCCCTTGGGCTTTTCAAAATCTCTGCTTTTTAACTTTTGTTGGTCTGGCTTTCCAAAACCCTCTCAGCTTTATTCATTCATTCAACCTTTATTTATACAGGTTAGTCTCATTGAGCCACGAGGACTCATTTACAAGAGGGACCTGTTCCAGACAGAACATATAAAGTGCAGACAACTATGACAGTGAACAACAAACTACAGTAAAAATGTAGTTAAAATAAGAGTAGTGTTATAAAACAATAAATTAGGGTGCTGTAAAACAGGGTTAAATACTAAAAACAAGCACATATCTGCTTTGATTTTTCTATTGACGTTATCAAATTTGAAACCCCTTAAATAAATTAAGGACAACTTCATTTCTTGTTGTAAGGTGTTCCAGGTTGCAGGAGCTGAGTAGGAAAAGGCCTTTTTGCCAAGTTCAGACCACATTGAGGGGAAGCTGCAGGTAATGATGTCCTGAGAATGCATGATGGAACTGCACTGACGTCGTGACATGTGGGAGGAGATATAAGAAGGCAGCAGACCAAGGAGGGATTTATAGATGAAAATTAATCCGTGTGAGATCCTACGTGTAGACAGTAATGACCACCTGACCAAAGGGTACAGAGTGCAGTGATGGGTACGGAAGTTACAACCAGTTATGAATCTTAGCACACCATGATAGACAACATCTGCAAAGAGCTGGCAGGGACATTTTTGATGAGGTGTTATGTACCACACATACTATAGTGTAACGAACCCCTTTTAGTTTGGACAAAAATCACCACACAAAGAGAATATTATAATATTTATTTTCTAGGAGAAATGTTGCAGATTGGACCGGTTCTGGTGCTGGTTCTGGTTTGGGTTCGGGTTCTGGTACTGGTTCCGGATCAGGGACAAGTCTATGAGATAGAGATCGGTTAGTGGTCGTGCAGGAGATTATGGGGAGCAGAAAAGTCAAAGGAGGACCACTAACAGTCTCACAGGGGGTTCTGAAGAGTAACGAAGTCCAAACTGATCAGGACCGCTGCAGGAGAGGCTGAGTCCGGTGAGGGGCTGCAGCTGGCCACAGCGACAGGTGGGTGGCGAGTCCGTTGAGCGCAGAGACGTAGTCACACAAGCCTGGGTCCAAAACCGGAGAGCAGAAGACAGGAGGTACCGGAGGAGAAGACGAGGAGGCGTAGTCGTGCAGGCAAAGGTCAGAACCGAAGACAGAAGACGTGGTAATCCAATGGGTCGAGCGAAAGACGATGTCCAGGTAAGTCGTGGGTTCAGGAGCCGAGAGGTCAAGCCAAGAGGGAAGGACATGAACCAGGAGAGGGACAGGAACGAGGAGACAGGTAAACTATGACAAGGGGACATGAAAGGTTAAGGGGGAACAAGGCAGGATGAGTAACGCGAGGTATCTACTTACAGTGAACAGTTTTCAACTACCGGACACCGAAGAAGAGAAAGAGTGCAGCTTTTAAAGGGTGAGAGTGACAGGTGCAGCCAGATGAGTTCAATCAGCTGCTGCAGGCTGCAGTGAAGACAAAACTAAACAACCATGACATCACCCTCAACCAGCATGCAAAGAAGACAAACTAAAACTCACGTATATATAAACAAACATTACCTGAGTGGACAGATTGAATGAAACTTACAGAAAAGATCTATTGCAAACTTTAAAGGGTGATCAGGGTGACAGAAAATATAATCTATGGAACGTGATTCGTGACACTATAGTATACACATAGTATATTTATGTGTGGTCCTTTTGGTTAAAAAAAAAAAAAAGAAAAAGTTTCCCAGTCTAGTATAAAAACGACTGTATTTTAAGAATACCAATTACCTAACCCTAAATGATAAGTTGCAATGAGACAATAAAAAATAAGTGTGGGCGTCTTCTTTCTGGAGAACTCCACAGGGAGGGATATAAATCAGAGGAAACAGATATCCAAGGA